GCTTTGGCAAGATACAGGTCTGAATTAGAAATTTTAGACTCGATATATTACAGTGGAACCTCAATTTAATGACGTAGTTGTGGGTTTGTTATGCTAAAATCTCCATTTAACAAATTGTGGAAAATCAATTGAAATGTTTGTTATGTTGAGGTATGGTTAATAATTGTTTTTTTTGTTTTGTTTGCTTGTTTGGTTTTTTCGGTGGTGTGGCATTGTGCTATCCAGTATTTTGGGATGGGAATGTTACTTGTAATAACATTTGTTCTTTATGTTTATATGAAGTTATAGTACTCTGTACAGATTTCTACCCAGCTATGGCACCAGAAAATTAAATGGTTAACAAAATTTTAAACATTGTAACTGGCATGTCAAATGTGATAATAAAAAGGATAATGAATAGCCCAACTAAACAGAAAACTTTAACATAAGAAATCCAATTCACATCATTTCTAAAATTGCTAATCAAGACCCTCACTTAAAAAATTCTTGTACTGAAAATTGCCTTATTACTTTACTACTAAAATCAAAAAAATTTTTGAATGGCCTTGAGAATTTTGGTCTGTTTCACGTTTGTCTTAGTCATGTGTTGACATTTCTTTGTTATATTTGAGTATATTATATGTTTGAGCTTCTGGATTATGTTTATAATGACAAGGGTTTTTTAATTATATCAAGGTTTGTTCTATAGAACTTTATTAAAGTGAGGTTCTACTGTATCTCGGCTCAAGTAAGGTACAGTTTTAAAGACCAAATGGCATGTGAATTAAGGTGATCATCAATAGGCTAAATCAAGTCTATCTCATGTGATGTGCTATTTTTTAGTTGCTTGAGAAAGAGAAAAACACTAAGGAAACCACAGGAGATCTAAAACAAAGACACAAGAAGATGTTTAAAAGAACTCTGAAGCCAAAACCTAAATTGGATAACATCGCAAGGTAAGAACTTTTCATATAAATACCACCAAAAAAAATGACCAAGAACAAAGATGTGGAAACAAATATTTGGAAACACTGGTTTTTGTTAACCCTTTCAACTTCCTGGATCTGATTAAAAATTCTACTTTCCTCTTTTAACAGATTTTGTGATATTTGTTCAGAGAATTTGGTGTTACAGCAAGGAACCACTCTATAGATAGAAAAACTTGATTATACCCAGTGGTAAAAGTTGATTATTTACCCTTACAAATGTCCTGATCTAATCTGAAATTCTCCTTTTCTCCCATAGCACATTTGTTGTATTTTTAGTGTAGAGAATTTGGTGTAAAGCTGTACATTAAGATCACATTCTCTAGAACAATGTTGTTAGACCCAGTGGTAACCGTTGATTGTTTAGTGAGATCTTGAGGGTACTGGTTGTCTTGAAAAGAATTGTGCCACAGACAGTTTGGGGAGTTACTAATGAGATCTTGGGAGTGAAAAGCTTATTTAGAGACAGACTAGAAGAAAAACCTCCAAGTTTTACCTGTCAATTACAGAGTGTGTAAACAAGATGAACCCTCTATTTACAATAATTACTTTATTTGTTGAATTTTAGTTCAAAGGAAGTTTGGTTTGATGATGTGGATCCAGAAGATCTTGAGGAAATTACTGGGAAAAAAACAAAGACTGAAACTGGAGATGCAAATGATATGCTAGTTACTGGCAGTCTGGAAGGGTTAGTAAGTTATACTAACAGTTTACTCTTCACATTTATGGATAAAGAAAGAATAAAAGTGTGCACAAGTAGTAGACTTATAAATACACCTTGAATTTTAATTTGCCAATATTACTTTTCACAACCTTAACACTGATAAAAAGGTTTATGGTGGTTATGCTTTAAATAGCACTTGAAAAAATTTTTACGCAAAGGACACTTTTAAAGGTCTACTGTATCCTTAAGCGTATCAACTTTAATGCAGTTAAACTCTTGAATGGAGATAGAACATATAGAGGTGTAAGAGTCCTTTATATAAGATAATGTATTAGTCCTACACTCAGCTCCTACAGTTTACATATTGTGGATAATTTACTTTATTAAAAACTGGATCATTGGATAAAGCAATTCATGACTTTTTATTGGCTTAGCCGTTATGGTATATGAGCCAATATACCATAATCTAATGTCTGTACATTGTAATATCCGGTTTCTTCGGACAAAATAAAGTCGAGAAGATTTGTCTAACATCTTGGGGGTGTTTTTTTTAATAAAACAATTATTCCACTCGTGCTTGTTGGATATGAGATGAGTATAGCCAACTTGGCGCTACTCGCCTCGTTGGCTATCTCTCATCTCATATCCAATGTGGGCTCGGGGAATAATTGTTAAATATTTGTTGCCTTCATTAGCCACTAATTTTAAATTATGTTATAGGATAACAAAAAGGATTGCACTAGACTGTGAAATGGTAGGAGTTGGGTCTGATGCCAAGAGGCACATGTTGGCACGAGTGTCCATTGTTAACTCTCATGGTCATGTGGTGTATGACTCATTTGTTGCACCACAGGAGAAAGTGGTGGATTATCGCACTCATGTCAGTGGAATTAGATCTGAGAACTTGAAAAATGGTTAGTGTTGACCAAAATATTTATGAATGTGTGCCACTTTAAATGTTCTTTGTTTGAAATACTTTATGTAGGTAACATTCTTTAGGATTCTATACAGCAATCTTACAAAGGATATTACTGGGTTTCCTGGCTCCCGATTTGTTACATGAATTATATATCAGTAATAATATTTATGTTGAGTGGCTGACCAGGAAGATATTTGTTAAAAATACAACATCTCTTTCATCTTTTAAGTCTTCCCTTAAAACATTCTTGTTTTGGAAATTTTATTCTTGATTTATTTTATGAGGAACTGTACCCAGCTTTCATATCCATTAATTATTTCATTTATTTTATTTATTGCTGTTATAAGAAACATTTTATAGGTATCAAATAATTTATTTCTATTTTTCTACATAGTAATGTAGGTGCATTGACTTTTCTAAATGTGCCTCCAAAAACTTTTTTTTTTTATTATTTTATTATTATTTGCTTCAAGGTCATGACATGAGTCATGCAAAATGCATCAAAGTAGTCATTATTATGTAAATGTTGATATTTCAATATCTAATTCTAGTTCATATTTGGTCTAATGCCTTTTTTCAAACTGGTAATCATGCTTTTATCTTTCACCGAAAAAGGAATAAATTCATGTTTAACAAGGATACAATTTATAATTCAGTGCATAAAACAAACTGAAAAAAACTTGATTGTAAATATTTTTGGCCTGTATCTACTGCTCTTGAACACTTTTCTGCTTGGTTTGTGTATTGCAATTTGTTTATTTTAATGAATTTTTTTTCATGTCTAGCTCCAGAATTCAAGACCGTTCAACTTGAAGTTTCAAAAATTCTTAAGGAGAAAATCCTAGTGGGACATTCCTTGAAGAATGACCTTGAGGTGAGTTTGGTGAAAGTCTACAGATTGGTAGTGGCTTTAACCCCCTTTACACCAAGCACCAGTGTGCATATTCTCCATACCATTCTCTATACATTTGCTAAGGTGCTGAAAAGGAGAATTTCTCAACAGCTAAGATCTCTTTTGATTGTGGATCATTTCCATTATTCTCATGACCTTAATGTTTGATTCAGGGGTGATATTGTAAGGAGAAATTAGTTGTCAGTCCCTCTGAGGGGATAAAGGGCTAAATTCTGTACAGAAGTTTTTCAAAGGGTTCGACTTGATCAACTGTAAATATATTTCTAGGTGCTGCTTCTTGATCATCCACGAAAAAATATACGAGATACTGCTAAGTATAAACCATTCCAAAAAATTGTTAAGGTAAGGAAACTTTTTTTTGAGCTAAATCCTTTTATGAAAGATAGTTTATTGTGGGTCTGTAGTTTGCACTGTATATGGTGTATCAAGTCATCTTGAATGACTAGTGCTAAGGTATACAGAAAACTTTTGCTTCAAATGCAGTTGAACAGACAGTGCTCCACTTTTAAGGTAGTAACCATTAAGATTTACTTCCTGTAGTACTCTGTATAAATGCCTAAAATTGCATGGTATTCTTGTAAGTTCAATAGGAAAAAGGATTGTTCCACTGGTTTGAAAAGTTCTTTAACTTTTTGTAAATAAGAGAAGCAGACTGAACAGAAACTAATACAAGCAAACTGACTAGATCACGGAGGGTCATGGGTTCAGGTCCCATCTGGGGCTCGGATTTTACTATTACATTAAAATTGTTTCAACTGACCTATTGGATCTGAATTTAATTTTAATGGAGATGTTGAGAACATGGAGGAAATATGCTTCAATGGTTCAGAAATGTGCATCAAGCTGAGAATCAATTTGAATTTTGCATCTGATTGATATAAAGGATGGAGGGAGCACTTAAAAAAAATATCCAACTCCAAATTTTAAGGTTTTAAGCTTTAATACTGGTGTCAGTGAATTCTTATTGGTAAGCAATGATCAGAAAGTTGCTACCATTCTTCAATAGTTTGTAGTTTTTAAAGCTTAGCGGAGCAGTTTTGGTAATTTGTTATTTGTATGATTTGTTTATCTCAGACAAAAACCCCTTCACTTAAGAAACTTGCTAAGCAGTTACTGAATATCAGCATTCAAGAAGGAGAACATTCTTCTGTAAGTATTAATGATATTTACTCTCTGTGGTGTCAAAAAGAGACATGGAACAGAGCAGGGACTGGAGCAGAGCAGGGACTGAAGCAGGGAATGAATCCTTTAACTCTTTAGATTGATTGATTTCTAATATCTCCTAACAGTGTCACCCAGGAATCCAATGCAAAGGTCATGAGAATTCAGCCAATGATTGACAATTTAAGAAGCTGCTGATCATCAAACAAATTCTCCTTGTTGATGACACAGGAAATATAGAGACAACAGTGTGGAGAATATCAATGTTGATGCCAGGGTGTAAAGGGTTAGGGTTAGGGTTAGGGTTAGGGTTAAGGACTATCAGCAAAAATTAATGGGCAAAATTTCCATGCTTGTTTGATTACAAAGCTGTTTTTCTTGAGTGTAGGCCAATTTTTAACAAAAACATCTGGAAGTAAATTCGCAATTCTGTTTACATTTGTATTTATACCAGGTACAAGACGCGCAGGTAGCCATGAAGCTTTACACTTTGCACAGAAAACAGTGGGAAAGACAATTGCATGAAGCTAGAGTAAAGCCATCTAAGAATGCACTTGTAAATAAACTTGTTACTACAAGTCATGATAGATAACAGAGCTACAAACATGGTAAAACAGCAGTTCATCATGGGATTGATTGCTCAATGGAAGCCACAGTGTCACCAAGTAACCTGAACCTCATCAAGGTCATTTTATACTGGCGGAGGAGTAGTGCTGTTTTAGTGAATTCATTGAGTTTATTCCTTGCAAGATTATTTTCAAGAAGTATTCTAAAGGTGTCAGAAACTGGTTTTTGGGCACAGCAAGGTATAACAAGAACCTCAGTTATTTTATTTGGAGGAGGAAGTGTGACCAAAACATTCCAAGTGTCCTAAAGAGAAGTGTAGCTGTCTATTTTACAATAAGATAGTCAAAGGTTGTTGATCATAAACTAGGGCACCATTGACGATCAAAACCAAATTGTCTACACTTAAAGTAAGGATTTCAAATACATTTGGAAATAACCTTTTACAATCTTATATGATACAACACAGAACTAATGCAATGGTAACATAGCAAAGTTTTATTGTGTATACAGTTTAATTTTGTACTGAATAGTTAGTAGAGCAGTTCAAATTAAACTGTAAATTTAAGCAAACTAAGAAAAATGAATTCAAAACAGAATTCTACCAAAAATATTTAATAACATTTAACTCTAAGTAAATATCAGGGTAAAAAGCAAGGAAGGATGGTCTGCTATCTCTGATATTTTATGTGTTAGAGTTGCCTGATTACAATGGGAGATTGGGAGTACAAGTAAAGAAATTACCCCAATAGGTAAACAGTAGGGAAAAGAATCCTTTAAAAGAACAGGTGTCAGGCTTGGACAGGTGACTAGTTAGATGCTTGTGGTTGGAAGTGGTGCTTGGCTAGTATTTGTGAGGTAGGGGTTTCTTTTCAGCATTTTTTTTTTTGAACCTCAGTTGCAAGGATCATTCATCTCTGTACTTGTGTATAATGTGTCACAGCTCCAACATCCTCCCTGGGCAACCCTATAGGCATTTGAACTTTTTGAAGATTGGTTTGTTCAAATGCCAGCACCCCCAGGCCTTACCCAAGTGCAGAATTTAATGATCACTGTTTTTTTTTGTGTCAAAAGGAAAAATCAGGTACGGTGACTTTGTACTCATTGAGCAGCAAATGATTTGACTATCCAAGTTTTAAACTACACCTGGTGGACCTATTCTTCTGAGCCATCAGCTCGTGAAAGAGAGCTCTTTACCAACCTACATGTTACAAAAAGATAAACTCGCATGTTCCACAGGAAATGACTGGACAGTTCCCGTTAAAATTCCCAACCCACCATGGCAGGGTTGGAATCCTCCATCCCAAGGGCACAGACGACTGTTAAATGCCCATGGTTTTCCCAGTGGAATGGGGGATGTTGAAACTTCAATTGTTTGGTTTGTAACCTGTAGGGAGGAAGATGACTTTTTTCATTATAAAATTGCGGGAACTATTTCTATTTAACTTTTTTCCGTTTTCGCCCCTTGTTGGTTTGTTTGTTTGTAAAGAGGCATGAATAGAAGTACGATAAGAGGTACTTGCGTGATCGCGTGACGCTTGGGATCTTGTCTAGTTGCTGGTCACGAAATGTTCCCCTTCCAGCCACATGCTTCAAAGAGCTCAATAGACACCGCGTGACACGTAACGTGAAAACAAAGCCAATTTTAGGGGTAGATTCGTGTGAGATTTTTCGCGAACTTACTGTTCGCAGACAAAACTGACGGTGGTTGCTTTTCAGCGAAGAGTTGATCTCTCCACCAAGTGAACCTTCTGCAACCGTTACTCTTTCGCTGTTGAATTCCTGAATATATTTTACAAGTTCCGCTTAATCGCAGAACGATTCAAGTTGAGGTATGCTCTGAGAACGTTAGTATCTTTGAGCTTATGTCGGGAAGTTTTGTTTGGCGATCAAATGCAAACTGCAGCGCTTGAAAAATCTGTTGAATTCGTAATAAGTCGTAATAGATTGCACGGTAAGATAGGAAATGGAAAGACGCGACCTGTCATGGCGGCTTGGTCGGGATGAAATAAACAGAAAGTTGAGTTTACTTGTACTAACTTTTCTCAGTACATTTCAAAGTAACTAGTGTATTTTTTTAGTGTACAGTCAGGGGTTCGATCTCTTCACACAAAAAAGAAGTTAGGAGATGTTGACAGCTGAATAAAGAATTCCGATCATGGCTTTTTGCCACTGTCAACCATTCTATTCGTATTGAAACAAAAGTTCCTCACGATTCACGGGGGAAATACAACTGCGAGTAGCTACGCCCAGTCCGAAAAAAGCGTTATCATCGAGGAAATTTCAATGCACTTTTCGTTTCTGTGAAATTAAGTACAATCTGATCATAATCAAATGAAAGAGATCGGAGGTTTACCCGCGGATGAAATATAAGTGAAGAAGAGGTTCTCATAAGTGAGCTGCAATAAATGAAGATGGAGAAAAGAAGCTTAAAAACAAATTCAGGCTTTGAGGGGTTTGAATCTCTTTGCTTTTGCTCTCTAGGTTCTTGCTTTTTTGTAAAGAGGCTTTGATCATGTAGGCTCGATCTCCGCCGCTCTTTCAAGTGTGGTCTTTTTCGTTTCCCCGAGAAGAAAGGGGCGTCTCTTCCAAGAGGAGCGCGGACTTCGTTTTCCGAACAGCGGCCGGTAACAGCACTCTAAATCGGGACGTGCTAGTTTTTCTCTCAAACCTCAGGCAGTCGTTCCTATTTCTTCACGCGACTAGTAAAGTGAAAATAGTGGATGCGGATTGAAATGTTGTAAACTTAAGACTGAAGGTGCTTTCTTTTCAGCTTTATAGACATCGTGCTGAACATCTACGGGCCGAATCGGAATCTATATCTAACAGTAAGTAGGCAAGATTTTGTTGGTTTACTTGGTATAAATGTGAGTGGGGCGTAGTTTAAATGTGAGTTGTATCATCACACTTCCGCTTCATCAAAGAACGACAGAAGTTAAGGTAACGTTTTTTCGAGAAGAAATGTCTGTAGTTATTCAACAGGGACAGCAGCAAGGACTCTGGCAGTTGGGTTAAATAAAAAAAAAATTATTATAGCACTAAAATTTTCCGACAGAGTAGAGCTAGACCGCAAGGGTAATATACTGTAAGTTGTGTAAATTTATCAGAAGACGAATAAATAGAGTATCAACTACACAAGGAGTGTTAGGTGTTGTTCTGGCACAAATATACAAACGAAGCAGAAAACAAAACAATAGTACGAGAAAATTAACAATACAATTCTGGTTGTCTTCTGCGTTAGCGTTACTAGGCTTCGACTTTTAATTTATTACACCCGTACCGTCAAAAAGGTCCCACAAAGGTTAATACAATAAAATATTTCGCAGAGGTATGGTAACGTGCAATATGCAAAACAATATAGAACCGAATAAGTAGTTCTAAGGTTTTAAACGTAACGCAGTGCTCGGAATAGGCCGTTCTACTGCAACAGCTAAGCGACGATGAAAAATCAGACAAGTTTTGAGAAGTTGACGCAAGTGACGTTGACGCAAGTACACAAACCAGTTAACTCGAAAGTCTACCAGGGTGTTAAATTAAGTTTGAAATTCTATCCACTTTCTTCAGAACTTGAAGACGTTCTTATGACTGTTTCTGCTCACTCCTAAAAACATCCACTGCTGCAGGCTACAACTACAACATCAAGCCGTCCAGTTAGAAAAAATATATACTTTATTGGAATTGTTTGCTATGATATTACATCAAGTAAATATGTTCGAACCTATCAGTTTTCAATCGATAGTGAAGCTTTAATAAAAATAAAATAAAATGTATCACATGTTACCCGTACAAACTAAAGCTAAAGTAGAAATACAAACTACAAAATAAATTCTAAATTCAAATCATCCATAGTTCGTGATAACTCGCACCAATCAGTCGTCCTTGCCTGAGCTGGCGAGATACAACTACAGTTTGCTAAATCAAAGGAACAACACTGATTTTCCAAAATTATGACTAATGAAACACCAAAACTGTACTATCTTCAGTCGCAAAAAAATCACAAAAATATAACATTATTGACAAGTCGAAAACACAAACCACGCATATATGGTGCAATGGCCTCTCTTAAAACCATGGAGCTACCTCAACCTCGTTCCCAGGGTCTCTCATCTTCCCGCCCCCTGGAGCGAGCGAGGAGAGACCCTGGTTTAGGCTGATCACGTGTCTCCCAGATTTTAGGAGATTTCAAATTAGTGGTTTGAGGGAGGGGCAGATAAGTGAGATTTTCTCTCCACTTAGTCCACTGGCGAGCATTGCTTATCGGCAATCAAAACAAAGTACACGTGAAGCGCTTCGAACCGAATGTCAACTGAGAATATTCAGCAGACGGCCAAAAAGATCAGTAAATCTTCCACTACGGTAAATATCAGGCTTTGTAAATCCGTTGGAGACGTATCTTGCTCGAAGAACATCTATGTGAAAGGAAATCGTGCATCGCTCGCCACCGCCGAGGACATTAGTGAGTTTACGATCCAAAAATGTTCAACGACGCCGCGGCTGAAGGCACTCAACTGCACATGCGTCAGTCGTAGCATGACGGCGTAGGCTGACGGCGTAGGCTGACGGCGTAGGCTGACGGCGTAGGCTGACGGCGTAGGCTGACGGCGAGGCGGGAAGATCTGCCATTTTGAAGGCGTCTTGCAGGACGGACGCATCGAAGGAGAAAACCAATATAAAAAGGTAAGTTTTGTATAAATTATACCCCTTTGCATCAAATGCTGTTGTCTAATAACATTTTTTGTCTCATAAAGATAGAGCTTATCTTTTGCTTGGACTATGTACGCATTTTAAAGATGCCTTCGTTGTTTATAAACCAGCAGTCAATGACTGCACTGTTCCCAAAACATGACAAATGTATTTCTTAGAATATTCTTTCTTTTCTGACACAACTTAATTT